TCATTAAGCTTTATTACACTGTCAAATGATTTAATAACAGACTCATTAACATTTTTTACATCAACTAAAGTGTAACACATAGCAGCAGTTATGCAAATGTCATTAGGTGTTATTACAGTGTCATTAAGTAAAGTGAAACAAGTAACAGTTATGAAGATGTCATTAAGTGTCATTACAATGTCATTAATATTAACTTTTACCTCAAGTAAAGTGAAACAAGTAGCAACAATTATAAAGATATAATTTAGTGTTATTACAGCGTCAAATGGTATGCTAACAGAGTCATTGATATTAAGTCTTACCTCAAGTGACGTGAAACACACTGGAGAACTTATAACTACCATCATAGCTGTAGAACAAACCCTTTGTACATTGGAATAAAACAAAATATAACTTGTTCTAAGATAACAGAGGGTTTAACATCTGGTCAGTGTATTGTTACTCTTGAAATACTGATTAAAAAACTAAAACAGAATTACTTATTCTTTAACTTAAGAAAATAGGTTCTTTCAACAGTAACCTTTTTTGTTTTGATTATGTCAGCCATCTCCTTCATAATAGCCTTCGTAGTTTTAAGCACATGAGTATATCTTTTTACTTAATGAGTATTCTAAATTATTTCTAACCAGATACTCTGACTTATGGTTGTTTGCAAGAAGCTTATTAATAAATAAATAGATTTAACACCAGTTTTTAGTTGTCTAAAACGTAACTTATTAACTCAACTGGTGAATGCTGATTCCTGCTCCCCCTTCCGCACTTACCTGACCCTTCCCACCCCACTTCACATGGTGAAAATATTAACACAAAAACGACTTACCTAATTTTCTTGGGGAATATTTCATCTGCTTCTTTCTCTTTGGTCAAACAGGAACTTCTTTCTCTGGTGGCTGGTCCTCATTATCATCCTCCACACTCGTAGCATGTCTTCATTAGCCAACTTTGTCCCCCACCATGTGTCCTAGGCTAACATGGGTCTTCATGTGGCTAAAGTTTCCAAAGCAAAGAACACAAGCACTGTGTCACATCAGCCAAGTTGCTAAATAATGCACATAAAGGATAACGTTGACTAACATATTAGCTTTTAATTTGCTAGATTAAAATTGGAGGGAAAAAACTAATTTGCCTGTCTTTAAATATATATTTAATACTCAGGGCTAACGTTACAGTAATGGAGTTTAATAACTTTAGCTAATATTAACTTAAAGCAAGGTAGGACTGGCTTGAATTACTCATAGCTAACATTACAAAGAAAGAGAACATAGTCAATGTTATTTTCTCGAAGAAAATGTAAAGTTAATAAGACACATACCTCATATGTATTAGGTGTCAAACTTTGGCTTCTTTTTAAACAGGAGGTCTGGCCGTTATAACTTGTGTTAGGTTGGCCCCACAATATGGAAGATTTCTTCTTCACCAACACACTGCCTGTTCGTGCACTGCTGCCTCTCACTGGTGGAGATGGTGTATTGCACTTCTTAACACAAAGCGGCACAGGTTCTTATGAAAACCCGATTTAAAACAGTTTTCATAATTATTCGTACAAACATGATTCCGCTTCGATCTGTATTTGCACATAAAGACGTAGTGGTGCACCTAAATATGAATTACCGGTGAATTAAATAAGACAAAACAGCCCCTGTATCTCACTGAATATTAAGGAGCCCTATTTCCTTTCTGAGGCGAAGCACAAAGTATGAAGCACCAATATCTATGCAAAAGTGAAAGCAATGAAAAGCTGCTTTTTAAGCGTCATGCTTGATGGCACCGCCATTTCCTCCAGCTGTATTATGTTTGACTGAAGATGATTGAGAGGTATGATTTACCTTAATGCTCTGCCTCAACCTGGCTTTGGTTTGCTTTTAGCCAAAACTCCAAACATAAAACAGGGTTAGGATTCATAGTCCATTGGATCGTCTCCCAAAGTGGGAGTGAATATAGATTGGACGGCTTCTTGTTTTACATGTTGGAATACTGAAACATGAGGGGGGGATTTAATCTTTGATCAGACCTCGTATTGACACATTTTGCATCTAAATAGGTCTCGGGGTGCGTCTTGAGTCAGATTTTCCTCCGATTGGCTTATTGACCGTATACAAACTTCTCATCTGTTTTTTTTTTTTTTTAATTCATTAAAAATTCTCAGTCGAATGAGAAGCATAGCTTTTTCCAGTCTCTCTGTATCTATATTTTCTCCGTCTCGCCTTCAAGCTAAACTGGCTAATTATAGGCTCTCTTCAAACATTGACTGACAGTTGCACGAAGGAGGGAGCAAATTTTTTTTTCATCGACGCTGCCTCGAGTCTGAAACACTTTTCAGAGTGTTTCGACATTTTTCACATTTTGACACGCAATATTACAGCCTGTAACTTCATTGGGAATTTTTTATTTTTTTTATTTATTTATTTATTTATTTTTTGCGACAGATCCAACACAAAATATTGCTTAATTGCAAATTTTAAGGAAAAGGACACACTTGTTTACAAATAAAAACATGAAAATCGCGGCATGCTTTTGCATGCGGCCCCCCTGTAATCAGTGCTTAGTAGAACAGCCTCTCACTGCAATTATAGTGGCAATTTTCTTTGCTCTTCAGATCAAAAAGCTGAATATTTTTGTTCATTCTTGTTTGTCGCGTAGTTAGTCCCATCCCTCTTCTTATTATCTCTGAGTAGCTTCCCTGTCCCTGCAAAAAGCAAAGCGACTCTAGCATAATTTTTCAGAGTTGGTGGATGTGGGCTTCTCCTGCACACAGCGTAGAAACGGGAAGTTCGGCTCTTTTCAGCGACCGGGCTCTTTTGGCACAGTTTGGCTCTTTCGGCTCCAAAACGGCAGTGAATTTATCACGTTAAGCCTCATATTATGACTTACCTTGGAAAATATTAATATTTCATCCTTTTGCTTTTATTTCTTTATTTTTTTATGTATTTTTTTTTGTACTTAATTTTTTTGTTGTTATTGAAAAGATTAGAATCCATGTACCCTATATTCCACTTTACATTTATGTTCATTTTACTGTTGGTATTACCAAAAATCCCAGTAAAACACAATAATTGTTCTAGTTGGAACTTAACCAAATATATATAAAAAAATGTTTAAGAGGTTTCAATGCTTTTGCAAGTTGACATTTACAGTAGGGCCTCAACCTTTATACACTATGAAGACATTTGTATTACATACTTTCGTTTTAATAAACTTCTAAATCTTGTCCGTAGCTTTAAATCTATACCGGGAATCTCATGAACAGCAAAGGAGTTCTTCCCCAACATTATTTACCCTTTTGTTTTTATTGCCAGCTGCCATTTTGGTACAGCCTGTGTTTTTTTTTTATTTTATTTTCATATAAGGCTTTACCCAGTATTGTATGAGTACATCATATGCCATAAGAAATGCCTCGCTAAAGGTCTCCTATCAAAATGTCAAGAGGAAATAATGTGAACAGATCCAGACACACACATGCCCGCTTTTTTTGGCCCTGTCTGTACTTTGAGTGTAGAAAAGCTTCCCAGGATGAGTGGCTGTTTAATTGACAGCTCGCTCTCTAACTGCTGCCATTCACTGACAGATGAGGAAGTTTTTGCACTAATAGCCATTGGACATCTGCGCCTCTTGTCAGTCTTTTTTTGAGGTTTTTTTTTTTTTTTTTTTTAACTGTGTGCTGAAACAAGGAGTGCGATGTAGGAGTGTTGTCAGTGTGATGTCTTGCATTCTGGCTGTCACCCGTTCTCGCTCAAGCAAAGTTCCGTGTTAAAAATAGAGATTGCCACGTTTTTGTTGCACACTTTTTTTTTTTTTTTTAGCATTGATGTATCGAGAAAGCAAAAGAAAAAAAAAACACATACAGTCTTTTCAAAAATTTGTTCTTGGGGCACCTTTGATTTACAGTGAAATCATTTGAGTAACCTGCCATTATATTTCTAAAACACAAAATACCCAGAAAGCATTTTTGTAGATATTTTTAGCTCTCTTCGGTCTCAGATTTCTCTTCTTAGAGTAACTTCTCTCTGGGTTTGCTTGAGACAAATCAACCCACCTCCAGCCTCTGTATCTGCTGTTTTGCTGTTGCTCTGTTGGCATTGATTATCTCTGACCAGAGGTGTCCAAGTGCATGTGTGTGTGTGTGCTGCTGACATGTACACAGATTCACACTATTTGTCTGTGGCTCTCCTGCTTGCTGGGAAGGCAGATACCTCAGGAGGTTCTGTAATAGAGCGGATTCTGTTGCTCACCTCAGACTCCCACGAGGAATGGAGGTAGCTTTGGGAAGTGGGGCGGGGGGGTAGAGAAGAAGAAATAGGGGTAAGGGCAAAGGAAGAGTGTCTGTTGGTAACTTGCGGCTATGTATGAAGTCCTGACTGCTGGATTTGCCCTGAGACTCCACAGGCCAGAGGCCTGCAGATGTACAGCTGTATGCACTGTACGTATTTTGTGTCAAAACATCCTGGATGTAGCCCATATCTGTGTGCGTATGGGTATATCCATCCATCCATCCATCCATCCATCCATCCATCCATCCATCCATCCATCCAGGGCAACACAGAGACCCACAGGACAAACAATCAAGCACACACACACACACACACACACACACACACACACACACACACACACACACACACACACACACACACACACACTCACTCCTAGGGAGAATTTAAAGAGATCATTTAACCTGACAGTCGTGTTTTTGGACTATGGGAGGAAGTCAGAGTGCCCGGAGAGAACCACAGGGAGAACATACAAACTCCATGCATAAAGAACCCACCCTGGGAATCGAACCCAAGACCACCACGAAAACATACGAAGCAGAATTCATAGTGAGCTGACAACCATGAGAGAGATTGGAAAGATAAATCCAGCGCATCTCTTAATATCTGCAAATTGGTTCTGAAATATGTTTCATGTCAGATGTGGAGGTCAATGGTGGCATGTTTTCAGAACATATTTTTAACTCTGTGTTTTCCCTCACTGCTCTGATTGTATCCTACCCAACTGCAGACAAGCAGTGGCTGTTTGTGGGCATTAACTGGGAATACACACACACACACACACGCACACACACACACGGCAGCTTTAATAAATAATCAATGGCTTCTCACAGAGAATGTATAGTGAAGACAAGCAACAAAGCACTGCCCGATAACTGTAAAAACTACAACCTAAATTGCTTCTGGGAGAGAGAAGTAGGAGAAGCTTCACACGCTCATGAACACACAGTGGGCATTGCGCTATACGTTGTTCAGGGTATAAACAGTCTGCCATGTTTAATAGGCCTCCCTCTTCGCTCTTGCTTAGTTTCTGAGCAAGCATCAGGACTTTAACAGCCTGTGCATGTCAGCCTGTGTGCTGTTAAACTTGGGTTACCTTCAGCACAGACACCCACTGGGTCTAATCAAGGGCTTCACTCCCAGTAAAACTCATTGTACTTTACCTTGTAAAGTGCTAAAAGGTGTGCTTCCCTCCTTCTATTCTTCCGAACCCCCGAGCAGTTGCATATTTACATCAAGCGGCGTTGAAGACAACTGCAAGTCCTGCAACGAGCCAATTAATCTGGACACATGCTGCCCTGCGATCCACTGGAGATTATCAAAACGAACGTCAAGCCTAGCTGGATCAAAAGCCTCAGTAGATGTGAAACTTGTTGGTTTGTATTTGTATGCACTACTGAAGCATCGAACTCAACCAAGGTGATCTTCTTTTCCCCTCCTTCACCCAATAAAGGCTCAAACAAGTCTTTGTCCTCAAGAATTACGAAGGACATCTCCTAACTTTGTCCCATAATATTTACGGCGTTTTCCAATAGGCCATGCTATCCCTGGATCTCCCTGACTCACTTTTTTTCCCCTCTGCGAATCCAGACAGTACCAAGCCAGCTAATACTCAAGCTGCTGCAGGGATTACAGTGAGCTAATTAAAAGCTATCTATCCATATTTGCAGCAGATTACAATATTATTCATACAGAGCTTAGGCAGTGTGAAATGCCTCAGCCACCCTCACACTACTTAGCACACATCACTGTGTATTACAGAACTGGAAGTTAATATCATACTACAGTTTAAAATAGTCATGTTAAAAGTGCAGCGATCACTCTATTGCAACTCCCCTGTCTGTCGGCGATGGACCATTGAAAACTCCATTATCCATTAAGGGTATTGTTGGACAGAAATGGAGAAATGGCATTTCCATTCAGGAAGTAGATCAATCAGTGGAAGCAATGTTAACAGAGGTGCAGGATTTGATTGAAGATACCCTTTAAATAACAAAAGAAGACATTTCCGTTGATCTGCACAGCGTTTTCCCCATTAAATCCCATTAATTCCATTACTTGAGTAAAATATTTGAGGAAATTACTGAAAAAAAAAATCATTTTGGAAGACAGACAAGATTTCACTAATATTTAGAGGGTGTCAAAAATCACAAATGTATGTGACTGACTAGTCCATATTTAGCTGTTTTTATATTTG